GTGTGTGTGTGTGTGTGTGTGTGTGTGTGTGTGTGTGTGTGTGTGTGCGATTAGGTGGAATGGGTTGGTTGGAAGGAGGATGGAGGAGATGAGATCTCGGGCCTCGTGGCGGAGCAGGAAAGGTGGAGGAGAGAAAAATAGAGAGAGGTTGGCTCATGTTATCGTGGTTTAATTAACAATAATCCCAAGGGGCAGACCTGTGCATGTGTGTGTGTGTGTGTGTGTGTGTGAGCGCACCTGTGCCCCCCTCCGGCTGAGTCCGCATATGTGTTTGGACTGATGAGCATGCAATCATCATCTAATCGTCTAATGACATGAAGCGATTTCCCACAGAGATGCTGAATACAGTGTATGTGTGGGTGGGTGAAGTGGCATAATGAGTGGTGACCGACAGGGCATCATTATTTGGTCAGCGTGATGAATTCATTCTCTCTCAGGTGAGGGGGAACGCTGGTGCTCTGATTGGATTTTTACACTGGAGATTTGGAGATGTAAATTGATTTCTCTATTGAACAACAATAACCACAAGACACATTGTGGACTTGGCGCTCCCATATCAAAACTGTCACTACCCCCAACCAGATGCATTCATGTCACTGCTGCTGGATTTTAGATTTACTCTAATCTTAAAGGTCGTTAGCCTAGCTTAGCATAAAGCAGCAGGAAGTTAAAAAAACACCAATACCGCTAAAGCTCCTTTATAAACAATATAAATAATCGTGTTTGTTTTAATCTGCACTCAAACATGAATGTAAAAGCAATACTTTGTGGTGTTAGAGGGAGTCGTGCAGTGTCATTATTTTGTGACATCATCACTGTCATCACATCCGTTGACCCAGCACCACTGTGCCCGGCGACCTGCCTGTGACTCCGCCGTTGTTTGCCAAGAAATAGATCCAGCATGTAACTCCTGCTGAAACCACAAGCTGTCAATGTATTTTGTCCCTTTCTGCTACATGCTAAGCTATTCACATACTGGCTCCAGCGTCAGAGTTAATGTTATGAGAGTGTTGTTGCTCAGCTCATGTAACTCATGTAAATCTGAGAGAAAATCAAATAACAATTTTAGTACTTGGGCTTCGCAGGAATTCAAATGTAGAAATGATCATAAATATAGTAATTGTGATATTTTTCTGCTAGAGAAAGTTATTTCAGAAAGCAATAGCAACTAATGAAAACAGAAGAAAAGACTATAACATGAGTTTTTAGAATGTTTCAAAAAAGACGACACAGTGTCTACACCTTTTAATATAGACAGAAGAGACGTCACTGTTACTATGTACTGAGCACATTAACAGAGCAGGACACACTTGTCTGACTTTACATTGAGGCCTTGGGAGTCCTTTTGAGACAACATGCTGTACAATAAATGAATAAATGTGTCACATAACGGCCAGCTTCCCGATGCCTCCGACTGCTGCGTTCCTCCGATTCAGATTTCATCTAATCTGTCGCTTTTCAGAACCGCTTAATTCGACGTGACTCTGCAATCCTGCGTTGTGATTTATCTCTGGAATAAACAATCAAGCCGAGTAGCACGGGAGCTCCTGTGTGGAGGAGCAACAGTCGGAATATTAAATTGGAAAGATCACATCTCATTTTATGGTAAATTAAGCCCTGAAATAAACAGAGGCTCAATAGGTCTCGTCAGGTAAACTCACAGAAGGAAAAGAGCACAGCGCATTGTTTTCTGTTTGTTCTCTGCTCAGATGAAAGCCAGTTGACCTTAAACTGGTTTGTAATCAGTGAGCTGATCAATAAAATCTTTTGACGTTTCCACAAAGTGTTGAGAACTAAAAGCGAGGAACTACTTTTTCACCGCTTATTCCTAAACCGTTTAAAACACTACAGCAGAACCAGAGTAAGAGTCTTTCACTGGTCCATTCACCAAGTGTTTACCTCCAGATGTTACATGATTCTACTCGGTCAACATTTTTACAATCCTGCTGTGGTAGATAAAAATCTGAAAAGAGTAACAAAGAGATGGAACGTGACCCAGGTCATACACTGCTCTTCACTTAAGTACCAGTAATCTATTTAATCTCACGGTGAAAACAAGCAAGTAAATACCTTATCGTGCCTTGTTTCCATTATTTGATAACGCAAAGACTTTATATTCCATGAAGTCAGGGTCTCAACCTCTTTCACTAGATCCTTCCTGAGTAACAGCGTCCCAGAGCAGGCTGTTCTCATTCACTGTTTGTACTTATACCTACAAAAAGTAATACACTTCAATATATAATCGAATACATAACCAAAGTAATCTTGAGTCAGGACGTGCACGGCTGCCTCTAAAGACGTCAGGTGACGTAGTATGGATAGAGACCACGTCCAAATAGGAAGGAGGTCAGGGTGAATGGATGGGTCAAGCAAACACAGGACAGCAAAAATCAAATTTGACTTCTTTTACCTTCCTTTTGTTACGTAGCCTACTTACACATACTTAGAAACTTACTTATTTTGACACAAAAACAATCTTTTTCTAAACCAAACAAAGTAGTTTTGTTGTTTAGTGGGGCAAAAAATGTATATTTTTTATTTATGGATGGGTCATTAGAATTAAAAGAGTTGATGAACTGGAAATTCTTGTCTTGAAGGCGGCACTAGAAGACAGGTCGGAGGGTAACCAAAATCATTAGGCACTAGAGGGGGGGTGTCCCCTTCCTACCCTCCTTCCTCCGGCACCCTTGCTTGGATCCCGTCCATCTTCCTTTTGATCTTAACTACACACCTCAAAAGTTTGATGACTGCATCTCGCAGATACGTAATGAAACAATGTGTAATAAACACTACCAGCGTAATATAATACAATGTGTAATTCTATTATTTATTAGGGGTCGTTCCTTACCTGCCATGTCAGTGGCGAAGGTTCGGTCCGGTCTCCAGCCGGTGTACCAGCCCACCACTTTACCCCCGGACACCAGGGGGCGCTCATACGCTCTGCCGCCTACAAATCCCACGGGCCAAACAGAAACACCTCGAGTACTACGCATCTGGAAGAAGACGGAAGAAGGAACGGTTTTAGTTCAGTAAGCACATAACTGCGTTCACTCAAGCTGAATAAGTACACATTCATTTCTGAGGGTACATCCCAAGTCTCTTAATTGTCGTTTCCTCGCTCCTCGATCCTCCCTTGAACCGGAAGTTGTTTCTGCGCCGCCATATTGACGGCCATCCCAAAGCTCTAAAGTAGCTCGGAGGAGAGAGGATGGAGGATGGAGGAGGGACCTCGGAGGAGCCATGACCGAGGACCCAGGAGAACAGACTTCCAGGAAGTCTTTTAACGGCCGACACGCTCCCTCATTGTTCATCAGTCATGTGATTGGACGCTGCAGCCGATCGGACTGACTGACTGGAGTTTCATACCAGAGTGAAGACAGATCACAGAATAAACTCAAGTTTATATTTATTAGGTTTCTGATTCACCATCTGGTTTAAATAAATATTCATTGTAGACTGAACAACAAAAGGACCACAAACAACTTTCTTCATTTATTAGAAATATTTGTGTTTTCATGATGTGATGTTTCCCTCAATAACTTTATCATGAATACAATTAAAGTCAGAGAAAGCTGGAGAGACGAAACACTTTTTACATCGTTCCTGAGTGTTTGATGAGTTTTATCATTTAAGAGAAACAATCATATTCTGGGTTATTTAATAATGACGCCACAGTCACAATTTCAAAACGTACAGACGCAAATAATTGATAAATAAGACGATCGCATCCCGCCGGTAGAAATGGATCCTGCACTTATAAACAGAACACAGGACACAGTTTGTTAACAGACTACAGAGAGAAACACCTCTAGTGGTGATTAGTGTGTCTTTATTAGTTATTAGTATTATTAGTTACTGTTATTAAGTACAGTGATCATGTGAACAGACGCAAACATATCAAAAGTCTCTCCAGCTGTTAAAGCCGACTGACAGCTGATCCAGCTGTGATTAGCTGATCCACCGTCATCAGAAACAGACGTTGCTTCACGTGACGCAACTGAGGAAAGGACGTCTCATGTCTCTTAAAAGATATTTCCTTGTTCCTCTCTCCTTGCATGGTTTCCTCCATGCATCCCTGGTGGGAGGGACTAAGACGCAAGGAAAGGACGCAAGTGAGGGAAATGGGGATGCAATTAAGAGACTTGGGACGTACCCATACATGTCGAGCGTAAAGATGGCCGGTAGACACAAAAGCTGTCCTCTGAAACCGGACCAATGCCATTTAAAATTGGTGTTATTTAAGAGCAGATGTGCTCCTGTGATGCTGGTTAAAAGTAACAGCTGTGACATCGTCTAAGGTCAGGCTTTTTGCTGATCCACAATCCACAAGTTAGGGTTAGGGTTTTTTTGACAAACATAATGTGAGTTCTGCAAAACCGAACCAGACATGAATGTCTGAGCCCACGGGGCGATGTCCACTCAGTGCCATAGAGTGGGAAAGCCCCAGAAAGTCTGGTGAGGTCGATTTTGCAATGAATCCCTCGTGTGTCAGTTTGCACGAGTGATTAGAGATCTTTAATTTCTTATGAAATGCGGGCGAGGGCGGCATTGCAGGGAGTCAGTGGCCAACTGAATAGGAGACAAAATGAAACTGCGCCACGGTGGAGCTGCCTTCCACTTTCGCAACGAATGAATTTGCACACAGCCGGAAGCGGCGTGACGAGAAATGAGACAAAGAGAGCGAGATAAGAGACAGAGATGGCGGGGGCAGAGAGAGGGTCTGAATTTTTGGTGTTGAGACATTTGTATCTTTTCTCATGTGTGTGTGTGGGTGTGTGTGGTTCTTTTTTCCAACCCCGGCCCCCCTGAAGCCCATTCTCTCAGACACCGCTCCTCATCACTCATCCACACAGACTGCAGCCAGTCGCTCGTGACATAACAACAGAACAAAACCAAATCGGGAAGCAGCGCTGCTTTGCTTGCGCCCAGACGTCACACTGACTTTTAGCTTTTAACTGTGGGAGTGAATGTATATGGCACAACATATGGAGAGGATTCACAGTTCTGTTGCAAACTTCCAAGCAGTCATGGAGTGCGTGACGTGGTCTGTTGGAATAATAAAAAACATCTCCAAAGAGTTTATCTCAACTAAAATGTGTTTATTGGTGAATCATTTTGGGGAACATCTTTGCCAAGTTTTTCTTGCCTGATAAATGTGAGCAAAAACCACTGCCAGCCCAGTGAGGGGGGTTATTTGTCCAATCAGGTGTAGAAAAGGTTGATGTTGATGTATTACTGATTGGGAGAACTGTCAATCTGCCATTGACAGCCTAATTAAAGGATGGCTGCCTCGAGCAACTTTAGTATTGAATCTTGCCAGAGCTCAGTGACAGAAGCAAAAACTGTGGATGGAGCTGCAAGGCAAGAAAATGTTTGGAACAGTTTCTATCAACATGCAGCTCAAAGTCACAACTGGCCTCAGGTAGATATGTTAACTAGTATGCAAATGTGCAAGACGGAGCTATCAAATACATAAAATAGTAGATAACCAACCCTGTATCCCAACAAAATTACGTTCCCATTCAATTGAACTGCACTCTCCATTATGTTACGAGAGAAACGTGTTTTATCCCAAATTACGGTTGCACTGTTAAACACGTGGTTAATAGAAAATAAGTTTCCCTTGAAGCGTGATTGATAAGGAAGTTTTGTTGTATGGGAACGTACATTTTTAGGAGACCAGGTTGTAGATGACATAAGAAAAAAAGTGTAGAAACCCTGAACAATGTCAGGACTGAGTTTATTAGAGACGCAAGGTTTTGCATCATATTCACAACATGAAAGCCAAAGGCTGTTCAACCAATCCAAGAGCAGTACCGAGCCTTAACACACCTGAGACCACCATCACATCGACATGCAGATTTGTTTCCCTTGTTGTCTTACACTGTGAGTTTGATGCCTGATGGAGGTCCATGACTGAAACCTTGTGTGGCAGTGTGCAGGGCTTCATTACACTACGCACACTTAGTGTGATCCAACCCAAAACCATTTGATTTAGTTAGGGGAAAATATGCTTGTGGCCCAAGACATATAGACTTCAAACATGGCTGCCAAAGGGCAGGTTGCATCACTGAAAGTCCACATTGTAGTATATGAGACCTGATAACAATATCTGATCGTATCCTGTTTCTCAAATACCAGTTATTACCAAATGAGACACATCTCATAACTCAAATGAAGGCTCTCTTGGCTGTTACTGTGTTTATTCTGTCCCTCGAATTTTGTACTGTATATTGTTATGCCCCCCCCCCCCCCCCCAAAGAGGCAGATTTACTTGTCATATAAAGAGGAACAGAAAAAGCATGCTTACCAAATCTAAGTCTTATAGTATAGCAGCAGGACTGTTTTCACTCCTGAAGCAAAATCCTATCATTTCAGCAGGGAAGTCTGAGTTTATATCAACTGCATTGATTATTATGTTCCTCACATTCATTCTCGCATGATGTACATATCTTGAAAAACATGGACATATTGATACTTTCATCCAAAGACCAAAAACAAACAAAGAACAATACTTGGCATATACAAGGACATATAATACAAATAAATATGTTTCATTAATGTATCCTCATACAACAGTTCGAATGATATGTTACAGTATTATTAATTTTTTTGCGTTTTCCTACAAATGTCCAGCAATACGAGTGATCAGTGCACATGAGCAAGCCCCTGTGGTGTTTAGGCCACAAAATGACTTAGTTAAGTTTAGGAAAAGATCGTGGTTTAGGGTAGTAACTACAGAAGTGGCTTCACTTAAGTACGGAAGTTACGTGACAAATAAATCAATGTTTGGGTTGAAATACTACAGAAGTGGTGTTACTGAAGTACGGAAGTTGCGTGACAAATAAGTTAACGTTTGGGTTAAAAAAAACTGCGAAAGTGACGTTACGTGCTGTAAGCAATGAGATGAAGAACAGGACATGTATTTATCAAACTGTCGGAGATGAGGACATCTCTTCATTTCCTTTCATTTCTCTTCTCTCCACTTCTTCTACTCCTGTACCCTAACACCCCCTCTTCTGCCTGGGCCCCTGAGCAAGGCCAGCAGCTTTGAAGCCCTTTCCCTGTTAATACTATGGTCCCTTGAGTTTGCCTGTGTGATGCTAAAACACTTCCCCCTCGTTTCTCTTTTGCTGCTGACTGCCTTTCTCTCTCAGGTCATTTTTCAAAGACTCTGGCTCCTCTGCTTTGTGGAAAAAAAAAAAAAAAAAAAAAGCTGATGAAAAGGAGAGAAGACGGAAGAAAGAGAGTCTGACTCTGTTCTGTGTGTTGGTCTTTCCCAGATCATTCCTGGAGTACGATCGTTATTTTGGCTTAGCGGTTAAGTCCTAGTTTGACTGCTAATGATCTCTCAAAGCTCAGCACAGTTTGATAGAATGGAAACAGGGTCCATGGGTACTGAAAGCCTGCCTCAAGAAACGTGATCTACACCACAAATATTCTATTTCCTGCATAAATAACCAATATCTGTCTTTGTTGCCTTTAGCTTTTTAAGTGTCATTTTCAAGCACTTTCAATTCGCATTATCAGAGTTTTTACAAGCATCTACCAGTTTTGGAAGTCTGATCCCAGTCAAAGTGTAGATTTTTCTCTGCAGTGAAGAAAATACATGACCGCTTGTATAAATCCTTTATGTCTCCTGGATGAAGTGAGTGCATCATAAACAACTTATAACGGTAACCTCCGGTTCTGAAAAGTGAAACCAATGAGGAAGTGTTTTAAACTTGCATATATTCTAAGGGCCAGCATTGTGTGACCCCTCTGGTTGCAAAAAGAAGTCCGATTGTATAAAAGTCTATGAGAAAGTGACACTAATTCTCACTTGATTTATTACCTCAGTAAAAATTGGGAACATGAGTTTATGGTCTCAATCTCTAGTTTCAAGTCTTCTTCAATACAGCATGATGTTCATTTAGTAAACTATGGTCCATTTAGAGTCAAATAGCAAAGAATGCTTTAGGGCGAGCCATGCCTTGTGATTGACAGGTTGCTA